ATGCACAACCAAACATGCATAAACAAACACATGTACAAACAAACATGTATAAACAAACACATGTACAACAAAACATGCATAAACAAACACATGTACAAACAAACACATGTACAACCAAACATGCAAAAACAAACACATGTACAAACAAACATGTATAAACAAACACATGTACAAACAAACATGCATAAACAAACATACGTATAAACAAACACATGTATAAACAAACACATGCACAACCAAACATGCATAAACAAACACATGCACAACCAAACATGCATAAACAAACACATGTACAACCAAACATGCAAAAACAAACACATGTACAAACAAACATGTATAAACAAACACATGTACAAACAAACATGCATAAACAAACATACGTATAAACAAACACATGTATAAACAAACACATGCACAACCAAACATGCATAAACAAACACATGTACAAACAAACATGTATAAACAAACATGTAAAAACAAACACATGTACAAACAAACATGCATAAACAAACATATGTATAAACAAACACATGTACAACCAAACATGCAAAAACAAACACATGTACAAACAAACATGTACAAACAAACACATGTACAAACAAACATGCATAAACAAGCATGTATAAACAAACACATGTACAAACAAACACATGTACAACCAAACATGCATAAACAAACACATGTACAACCAAACATGCATAAACAAACATGTACAAACATGTATAAACAAACACATGTACAAACAAACATGCAAAAACAAACACATATACAAACACATGTACAAACAAACACATGTAAAAACAAACGTATAAACAAACGCATACAAATTATAGGTCTCTCTTGTAAATGAGTCCTCGATGTTCAATGAGACTAACCTGTATAAATAAAGGTTGAATGAATGAATGAACATGTACAAATACTTGTACAAACATATGTACAAACAAACAAACAACTCGGATAAAATCTGTGAAAGACAGAGCATGAGGTTAAACCCGGATCTGTTGGTTAACTAAACACCTACTTCATCCAGACAGAGCGGCTCCATGAGGGTGGTTGCAAAAATATATAAAAACCTGAAGGGGGCCTGTTTAAAATATTACAACAAACTGAGCATGAAGACAACGGTGACCGTGGCGGTAAGTCAGGATTACGTGGTTCTATTTGACCCAAACAGTATTAAGGTCAACGGGGCATTTTTGTGGTCTTTTTGCAAAATGTTGTTCAAATGGCTGTCACACAGGACAAACCTGAACTCTGAGGGAACACAAAGAGGGCCAGTGTGGGCCCCTAAAACCAGACAATCCTAACCTTCTCTGGCCCAGGCCAGCAGTCTGACCCGGGGTCACCCTCAGCCAGTCTTAGTCAAACACCAACAAACACAGGCCCTGATCCCTACATCCATACTCTCTCCCAAACATACATCTTTCACAATGCGCTCCCTGTATCGCCCGTCGTCTGTTGACACGCTTGCATTCTGTCGTGACGAGGGGGCGAGGCTGCCGGGCCTCTGGATGCTGATGGACGCCGATAAACAGTTTTCAAAAAGACGCACCCCGCAGCTCTGGACCCACATGTCCTTCATTACCTCTGCAGCGCTCTAAGCTGCAAAATGCCACGGAAATTATTCATCTTTATAATGTATATAACATTTAGAAAGGCTAGTTCTAGTTCAGTTTATGGAATATACACGTGATTTCTGGGACATTATAACTTTTGTAGACGAGTACACCTGATTACTGAACTGCAGCCTCTGATCCAATTAGTACCAGTTTTCAAGGTTTGACCAGAATATTCTTGTAAAGTGTGTTTGCAATTTGTTGGCTTGTTTTCTCCTCCGTTACAAATGTTGTCCAACATTCTTGGGTCAAACAGGAGAAGAGGAAAAACAGAAAGTACAGCGCAAAATGAGGCGCTTTTGAAAAGTACGGGGAATAATTCTTAAAGCTGTGAAAAAAGGGAACTGCCTCTAATAAAACCCTTAACTGGATGAAGGTGTTTGCTTTATTTTAGAGGAAATTCGGTAAATAAATAATAAATATTCAAAAGTTGACCAGAATTGTATGTTCTTGAATTTCTAAAGCTGCAGTTAATGTGTGCTTTATTATTTCGACTAGTTGTGTGAAAGTTTATGAAGCATTCACTCTGTGATCCATGCGATTCTCGTCCAGCAATTTTCAAGTTATTTCAGAAAAATCAAATCAAAACTTTCGGCTCTTTCAGGACAATCCTGCTATGATGTTTGGTATTGGTGTAACTTTAGCTTTTTGAAATATTTAGCCTTTTTTTTTTCTCATAGAAAATGACTTAAGCTCATTTTACCTCCTTCAAATCTTTAGCTCTGTTTACACCTTTTACTGCTCCTTCCACATTTTGTTCTGCTTCAGCTTCTTTCAGCTTCCTTGTAAAATTTTTACTTGTTTTCAGCTAAATTCAGCAGTTTTTTCAGCTGTTTTGTGCTCCTTTAAGTTTTTTTTCTTCTAACTACAACATTTTTGTGCTTTTTCTAACATCTTTCTGCCAATTTCAGCTTGTTATGCTCCTTTAGCTGATTTCTGCTATTTCAGCAACTATATAGCCATTTTCTGCTCTTTATAGCTTTTTTTTTGCTAATTCAACATTTTTTTTGCACTCGTTTGAACTTTTTCTGCCTGATTCAGCAAAAATTTGTTTTTTATACTTATGCTAATTTTAGTTTCTTTCTGCTTTTTTGCTACTTTTCAGCAGTTTTTAGCTAATTTCAGCTGTTCTCAGATTAGCTCAAGTTTTTTTGCGGTAACTTCTGTTACTTTCAGCTAATTTTAGCTTGTTATGCCCCTTTAAGCTCTTTCTGCTACTTTTTAGCTGTTTTATGCTATTTTTAGCCTTTTCATCTAATTCCACATTTTTGAGTTCATTTCAGCTCTTTCCACTTCCTTCTTGTAGTTTAAGCTATTTCATCCATTCAGCTACTTTTCGGCATTTTTTTGCTAATTTCATCTTTTTAGCTAATTTCATAATTTGTGTTAATCTCTGCTTATTTAAATCTAATTCAGCAAATATGTTTTATTTCCGCTTTCTTCTGCTAATTTAGGCTTGTTCTTCCTTTTCAGCTAAAATTCTGCATGCTTAAGCTAATTTCAGCTGTTTTTCAGCAAGTTCTTCATCAATAAGCATTCACACTGTATTTTTGCAGGAAATCAATTTCTCTAGTTAGTTATTAATTTTCCCGTAATAAATAAAAAAATCACAGGTGCCTGAATAATGCAGTGCTCAAATTATATTAAAGATTAGATTAGATCAAAACTTTATTGATCCCACGGGAAGATTTCTTCAGGGAAATTAAAACGGAGGAGTAGATAAGAAAAACTTTTTTTTCTGACCTTCCGTCTAAGAATTTGATCATTTGTTTTTATCCCAACATGAAAAACGAGTTTGCTCTGGGTATTCATTGTCATAACGCTTTATTTTTTTAATATACGGTATTTATATAAAACATAATTAGCTGTGTTTTTAGTGAGTGAGGGGGCAACAATGGTTCTTTCAGTCAAAGGTCCAGACAAACCAAACAGAAGACGGAGCAGATGGGACGAACGAGGACACTGAAAGACACGTCCAAACAAACCGTGCACCAGAGCCGAGTCTCGTTCAGACTTCACTTTCACCACTTCTCTGACAACACACAGTCTGTCGCCCTGAACGGGTCTGCAAGATTTACGCTAACTGCTGCTGTTTAAACACTCGGGGCCCACCGAGGGCCTTTTTGCCCTCCTTGTCACATTACCACAAGACGGCCTTCAAATAAAAGCATCCAGGCTGGTAAGTTCCCCCCTCGGGGGCCCCAAACCAACCCCCACAATCCCTTCCACCAAAACCCACCCTGTCCAAACACTCCCTCGCCTGGCGATGCGTCACGGCTCCACGGATGACAGGTTAATGAGGAGAAAATATTTTTACAGGATCGTATTTCGACGAAGCCCTGAGAACCAACGGCAGCACTTTTATTGGCATCAGCTCGCAGACCTGGAGCTTTTATCTCTTCATCTGTGCTGGGTTTTATGGGCAAGGCTTCGGCCTTTCTGACACAGACCGCAGCCCCTAATCTCGGTCTTCAAACCCAACCTCAGACTTCCAACTGCAAAGCCAAACCCAGAACGTCCACTCGCAGTAAGCGTGCGTGCCTCAGCTGCACGCATGAACGCTGCTCGTTCTCTCCGGCGGTTCCTATCAAAGATCTGCATGAACTCACATGCCACAAAGGCCTTTCAGACAACGCGGCGCAGCCGATATAAATCGGAGTGAAGTTAATGGTAAGGCAAACACCTCGGGCTGGCAGCTAGAGGGCTCTGGGTCGTCTCAACACGATACCAAACTCTCATTTTTTAGCCCCTGTGATCCTCGGACCCTCCCCTCCTCTCCGTCACCCGGCGTTCCTCAACTCCTTCCAACCACCAGGAGTAAGACTGAACTGTCTGACCTGACCCACTGAACTCTGCTCCCCTCAGACCCCTCGCCCTGTCAGCGCTCCTCCTAGGAGGTGCCAAGCGGCGGCCGCTCTGTAACCTGTTAATGATTTGTTAAAAACACAAACAGACGAGGGGAGGGGTGGCGTGTGTGATGGAGCATTAAAAAAAAGAGAGAAATTAAATTTAAAAAAACGTTTAAACAAATGTTTCTGCGGAGAGGTGGACTGTTGGTGGTCTCCTGTTGAGCTAAATCAAACAACTTAGTTTCTGTCAGAAAGGACTCCATTCAAGATGGAGGAGGGGAGAGCTGGAAGGCAGGAAGAGGTTCTGCCGTGGCTTATAAACTTAACAGAGGATAAAAACGAGCCTGATCTTAGTGTGATAGGCATGGGGGGGTTTGATTCTGGAATAATCCTCTGAGAAGAATCTCAGAGTCCAAAAAGTGAGCATGTGAAAACTACACATTGGTGCCACGGAAAACAAACTATTATCGAGGAGGAAGATTTTTTTTTGTTTATTGAGTCTTGAAAGTAAAATTAAAATGTTCCGAGAAATAAATGTTGACATTAATCTATAAAGCCTGTTGTGTCAGAATGCTGTGAAATCTGTTAATATTATTTTTTTTTTAAAAAGCTAGTTTCTCCACTAATTCTACAGAAGGTGGGGTCAATGCTTGGAAACAGATGCCCTTATGACTTGTGCAGTTCAGCTTCTCTAATGGGATCTTAGACCGCATTTCCTTAGACCGGTCCAAAACGGGGACTGGCTTACTTAAATCAATGCATCTATATTTAATCCCAAATCTGCATCTGTGCACAGCTGCTCTATAAATGAAGTTGTGTTGTGCACGTCCGTGAATCGCTTAATCTTCACATCTTTAGCGGACGGACCAATTGCAGCCACTTGAACACGATGATGTCATCGCCCTATGTCTAACCTAACCTACGTAACCTCCTTAAAAATCCTATATCATTAACCTCAAAACAGCCGAAGCTTATAATGTTTATTCTCCTATATACCGTCATTTCCGGACTACAAGCCACAACTTTTTTTCACACGCTTTGAACACAGCGGCTTACACAATGCTGCAGCTAATTTATAGATTTTTATTTTTTTTTGACAAGCTAATGAGCTTCATGCCATTAAAACGTTTAGCCTCGTCACAGGCTACTGTATTTTTGTTGTTTAAACAGCCGTCTTGCAGGCACTGTTCAGAAAAAAAAAAAATTACTGTACGTATTTGTGTATGTTCCGGTACATATTGTCTTCTGTGGTTGACTGCTGGTCACATGGCCCCAGGGTGGAATTATGGGTAAAATTTATGTTCATCGTTAATCATTTTGGTTAGCGGTTTAGCATTGTTCTTTTAGCGACTAGTCTGTTCTTGTTAGCCTAGTTTACATGTTCATTATGTGTTAGTTTGTGTTAGGCCGTTCAGCAGAGTAACCATGAATGAGGGAGGTGGTTGTCATGACGACCTGTGGGGTTCACGCTGTGTGTTGAACGGTAAGATAAAGTCTGTGAAACGCCATCTGGTGGTTGATTCTTGATCTACAACATGAGCTACACATCTCTCTCATAGAGCTATCATTTCTAACCCGAGCCCAAAGCCCGGCCCGATGGGTAGGCCGGGTCGGTGTCGGACTTTTGATTGCGTCAGCGGATCAGCCGCGATCCAATTATATGACAACATGACTTGCCATACCTTCACCAGCCGCACGCAGTCACTTCACAGCGAGCTGACCGGCCTTGAGGTAAAATACAATTCAGTTAAGCTTCAGATGGGACTATACTGCCAGGCAGCGATCCATCGCCCAAATGGACGTTCATTCAGCCGCTGCACTCAGAGGACGCACGCGGCCGATGACCCAAACAGGTGAGATCCCAAAGCAGACATGTCAGAGCAGGGTCCGTGTCTGAATAATGCAGAATGCAGCAGAAACTGGGTTTTAATGCGCTTTGAGGGCCATGAAAGGACAAACACTCCCTCAGCTCTGATCTTCTGCCCCTTTTATTCAGCCGCGCCACCGCGGTAAAGTTAGTTTTACGTTTGACGTTGGACATTCGAACGC